GCGTGCGTGTGTGTCATATGTTCTTTACGCTCACATTTAGAAGTTTCATCGTCTCAGAAACGTCTGAAGAAGACAAAAAAAAGATTATATAAATTCTATTGAGATAATTTAAACTTGACAAATTTCTCAGATTTTTATTACATATATACCAGATGTTCAGCGCGATCACATAGGCATTACAATATAATAGATTTTATAGAATTGCTTGTCTCCTATATACGTATATGTAAACATGTATTATATGTACATATTGTTTGCATATGTATTTTTATACGTGTGTGTGTATGTGCGTGCGTGCGTGCGTGCGAGTGTGTGTGTGTGTGTAAACACAAATAATTGTTTATACTGTAAACAATTAAAAATAAAAGCGAATTATTTTGGTAATATACCTATAGAGTGTACCGAGAGTTTTTTCCAATCGCTTTTGTATAGATAGAGCGGACTAAACTGAGTCGAAAAGTTCTGTATTATTTTGCAAATTTCGCAATAATTAATGAGATATTAATTTTTAAAGATAGCCGGTCTTCAATAATTTTCTTCTCAAATACTATCAACTTTACAGAAAAATAGCGAGAGATAAAAATTGTTTATCTCTCGTTTATTTCAGCTTATTGTTTATTTGAGAAAAAAGACCAGTATTCGGCTATCTTTAAAAATTAATATCTCGTTAACCATTGCGAAATTTGCAAAGTGGTAGAAGACTTTCCGACTCAGTTTAGTCCGCTCTATCCACACAAAAGCAATTGGGAAAAAAACTCGGGACACTCTGTAGAAGACGATAAAAATATTATCCTTTACTTGATTTCAAATCAAATTTGATTAATACAATTATTTAATAAAAGTGCGCATAAAAATTATTTACAAAAACATTTGGAAATTGAAATGTTACTCGTATAAAAAGTAAAATATTTTTCAAAATTTCATTTCATATATGAATGATAAGCACAATATTTACCAAATAAATAGAGCATTACTGTAAACATTAATTTTGTCAAATTGGAACATTTTATATAGTCGACTACGTTATCCTTATAACGTCTTTGTGTGCTACCGTAGATATAAAAAATAGTGGCGTCTAGGTAATTTGTATATTTAGTTGGACATATCTTGTGTGTTAAATTTTACACGTGACAAATTTATTGACTCGTTAAATGCTGTTTCAAGCTACTTTCGATGAGCATATTTACTCGATACTCGATAATAAATAACATAGATCACTTAGGCGATTGATAGCGGTACTCGTTTACATACATACATATATCCCATACGGGGAATTCCTGCCACTATGACGAAAAACATGTAAAGACAGATGGGAGGGGGAAAGATTGGTATAATATAGATATAAAGAATAGACACAAATGTTTTTCCTAAAATTTTGTCTTGCCTCGTATCTCTCTTACAGATAAGAATTAGTAATTTTTATCTGTGTACAAAATGTACAAGTCTATATACAAAATTTAAAACTAAACGACATAATTGCACTATTTAAGCTAAATTTTATTATAAAATTTTATGTAATTTTTAAATTTAGGAGACAAACATATTAGTATTAGAGTATTATTTAAATATTATAAAAATATTGTTATTAATAATATATACAATAATTTAATATCTATAATAATAATTTATAATATAATATTTTTTTGATAAAAGATTTAATAATTAAGAGGATTCTTTCTCGAGGAGACTTAATCCTTCCTCCTATATATGTATATGTATATCATTAGCCTCTTTCCAAACTGAGATAGATCAAGACAGCGATAGATAACACAGAGAGGTAGATAAAAAGAAAAAGAGCGAGCAAGAGAAAATCTTTCTGGTCGGCGGCAGTCGTTGATCGCGAAATGTTCATTTCGGATTTGTTAAAAATCTTGGAAATCCCACATAAGCGTCATCGGCGTGTATTCCGCCATAAATTCGCGGATAACGCACATACGTGCGGAACCGATTGTGGCGTAAGCGATCGTTTCGGATTGTGATCAATTAATCGAAACCGACAACGAAATTGCAAATCTAACTTCTCCGCGGATATATTAGATAACTCATGCGACATTCATCCATCGGACTTGATGAGTAATAATTAAGTTCTTAGTACGGATTCTGTGACTGAGAAATCACTGATTCATTCGAAATAATCGTGTTCTAAAGTCCATTTATTATTTTCTTTGAAAACAAGTTGAAAACGATTAAAATTAATAATTAGAAAAATAAGAACAGCGGACGATAAACGCGATTGAATTTCGCGATAACAATCTTGACTCGAATTAGATGAAAACTCTGTGGATTCGATGGAACTGTGTTTATGAAGACGTGCGATTTCGATTGCGATTTAATTCGCTAAAGAAGATATGGTATAGAATGCTGTTTCATTATAACTATAAAATAAAGGAACGACCTTATGCGACTGTCTGCGATTCTGCTGGCGAGAAAGCATCGCATGCCTGACGAGCGGAAGCGGAATGCTCTCGCGTGTTCGAAGCATGGCATTCGATGTGGCAGTGTGGCTTGCGTGCGCGCGCTCGTTACATTGCGGCACGGTGAGACGGTGGGGCAGGCACGGTCAGATGGTGTTTTTGATATTTAAAAATACCTACAAGACTATTTGCGTGCCATGCGATAGCTGCTTCACCTTACCTCGTCTCGCTTTGCCTTGGCTCGCTGAGCTCGCTTGATCGGGAAACCCCACAGCGGCGTCGACGTTAGTGGGTTCCATCGGACTTGTACCCTTCAAAAAATCGATTTCGTTTCGTGTCCTGCCCTATGCGTGACCTCCTGCATTTCAAATTTCGAGTAATTTCGCGTAGCAACGTCTCGCACGTACGTTGCCTCGCAATGTGTATCATTCAGACATCCTGCATCTATAACAATAATATCTAAGAATTTCGCCGACACACATTTTCAATGTCACCGCGCGCCGCGATCGATCGTATGTGATTCTTGCATGGTAAAAACAGAAGCTACCTCTACTACCGACTATAACTATACTTATGAATGTTTGCAATCTCCTAGAGTTATTTGTTTCCGTCAAGAGCAAGAGTTATACAATCAAGTACGATGCGTGTACAAGTTATGCTATATTATAATATTGGTAAATTCCGCCAATGTGACTGGTAACGCAGTGCAGTTAATTTTAACACTTACTTTGATCAACGCGAGCCTAGTTTGGATCGCGGGACTCCAGCCAAATCTCCAACGACAATGATTCACTCCGCGTCTTCCTAGTTCTATCTATAATATATCTATGTATATCTCGTCGCGCGAGTCGGAGACATGTGACTCGCGACGCGACGACTGTCGCATCATTTATTTTGACGTGTCCTGTGCAATCTGTGCATTCCTCTGTCCATAACTTGCATCATAGAGAGAATTTAAAGAGAGATAAATCTATAATATAGATTTGCTGCGCGCAATTGTACGTTATATAAGAATTCAACGACGTGACTCTATTGATAATGTAAAATAGAGGAATAGATAGACATAGAGTGTTTGTGGCTGTTATTACGTTAAATTGTCTAATTAACCAATTGATTTGCGATTTCGCTTTTTCGTTTTAGGTGAGATGTGCCTGCACGTGGCTGCCACCAGTGGATACGTGGATCTGGTGCGACTTTTGTTGCGTTTAGGGGCCGACCTTAAGGCAAAAGAGGGTCTGGCGGGATACACGGCACTTCATCTCGCAGTGGAACATCAGTACTGGCCGTTGTTTGATTTTTTATTGCCAGAATGCCAGAACGCGTCGTGTCTGAACGAGCGAACGTATGGCGGTAGAACGGCCTATCAGTTGAGCCTGAATGTCAACACCGAGTTCGCCAAGAAGACACGCAAAGAATTAATGCGATACGGCGCGATGCGGGAACCACTACCGGAAGACTCTGATTCCGAGAACAGCGAAGACGAAGAAACGACATCGTGGATGGCGGATTACTTGCCTGCCATCGTCAAAACGCAAAATGCGATTGGAGTGACAGTCTAAAGTATCCGTTGATATTTATTGTAATTTATCGATTAATTTGACCGCTAGATAATTACCAAACGAAAAGATAGAATATTGCGTGCACGAAAGATGTATCTCTCTTGAATTACATTAACGTATCAATAATGTCATTTTTATAATCGAATTGGTATAATCAGAGACGCGAGTAAAATTTGTCAAACACAAGACAGAGATCAAAATTATATATCAAAATTATTTCTATATGTACATTTGATAAACATATTTTGAGCTTTAATGCATAACGAAATTATTTTTATTACAATTTAAATGAGAATAATTGTTACTTGAAAAGAACAATTAGATTTATTAAATTAAATAAAAATCGTATTTGGAATGGAATCGTATTAATGCGTGGCTTGAATTTGATACGATGTCGTGTTAATATTATATGCATTAAAGCAAATAATCAAAATAAAAGTACAATTTATTAAAAAAATTAAAATTATGTTTGACGATAATCGAGCTCGTTATATGTAATGCACGAATAAATGTCAGTGTCTAGCTTTGAAGCGTCTGTCATCTTAATCTGCCGGTTGGATTAAGATCTACAGTTAAAAAAAAAATGAAAAGATTAGCTTTTAAGTTAGATTAGCAGTTAAGTAGATAAGGAATAAAATTTCTCGAAATTAACTTCAATGTTCAAATATTATATTTAATGCGCGATCAGAGATATATTTTTCGAGTCGATGAGTATTACTATTGTAATACAATTATAGACTGCATATCCTTTTCGAATCGATACTGGCAGCAAATGAGGGATGAATGACGAACGATTAACAGAGACGCGTAGGAATTTAAGAGACAAATTTATACGCGATTAACGAAAAATTTAATTACGAACGAAGCGACGACACAGGTAGTCTCAGCGGTCGTTCGTTTTTCCCCTACTAATTTTTCGCAACGGATAGACACGCAGCATCCTGAGAAGAGTGTTCCAAAAAAGGCTGTACAAGTATGAAACAAAGGACAAGTGTGTGTGTGTGTAATATTTTAACACGAGTATTCTTACGATGTTTGTCGGAGCGTCTGTGAGTAAAAGTAGGTGCGACAGCATCGGCACGAGTGATGATGCGAATGTGGAATACTTGTGCTTATATATTTTGTGATGTAAATAAAAGAGTACGTTCATTTTAACGATACGAATACTCGTGAAGAAGGGTTTTATTATAGGTCATAAATCATAGACGAAGTCGAGAAATGCGTGAAATAAGATACATATTAAAGTGGAGATAAATAATCAAATTCACAATTTTATGTGTGGCTCATGTAGTGTATTTAAATATCAACGTATCAAGAAGAAAAATCCAGAACGATGAGATGTTTATCGACGATGAATTAACCGGATCAGTGTTCATTGCAGTAACATCCAGTGTTCATTTACAGTAACTCCCTTTCATCTCTTCGTGTACATTATATTTTCCGTTAGTCATAAGTATGTCATTGTCACGATATATTAATAACGAGATGACGATATCATTATTGTTATATTCGTATAATAAAAGCTATAATTATTTTTAATAAAAAAAATATGTTACATCTACACACACACACACAAATCTTCCTTCTTTGTCTTTTTCTTTAATAAGTACATATTGGTTTCTCTTTAGAGAAAAAGAGACGTGGTTTGTTTTCCACTTTTTTTTTTAGGAGAAACCTTTTTTGTGAATTCGATAGGTTTAGAAAGAAGAAGAGTTAGATATTTAAGTAACAAGGAATAATTTTTTTCTCTCCGAAGTGCGATACTACAATTTTCTGAAGATTTTTTGCGAACATTTTTTGTGACCACTGTCGTTGGTAGAATTTGCCTACTAGTACCTATATCAGGATTTTAAGTAAATTTATAGATAATAAAAATGTGACGGGATTTTTGGAGGCATAAGTATACGTGACATGGTAAAATCCAACGTAAACATCCGAAATCGGAATCAACCGATTGATTTATTTCAAATAATGGTCCAAGTATTTCAAGAAACTTGTAAAGAGAATCTATTCCGCGAAGAAAGAGAAAATATATAATACGCGCAGATTTTTCAATTGTATACACTGGAGAAGCAAAATCATTTAATTCAGTTTCCCTCGACTACGTAAACGACTTGTAAACAACAATGATATTGACGGTTGTGTCGCTCTTTGCAAAGTGCACTGCCATCAGGAGAAATTCCGTAAAAAAATAAATATATTTTTATTTTCAAGATTGAAAGCTTATTGGGCGATTGATTTTTTATATGTATTTTACATTTCAAAAATAGAATTTAAAATTTATAGTGAATTGGACTATGAAACGTCGAGATCATCGCAGAGTATAATATATTTTAATTCTCAGAGAGAGCACAATGTATTTTGATATTTAAAATATTGCGGAACTATGTGTGTGCGTGCGCGTGTATATGGAAGGTACGTGCGCATGATAAAAAAAAAAAAACGATGATAATTAACGATAGCCAATGGCAAGGACTGTTCCAGGAGAAAAGTACAGTTTTTATTGGCTATCGCTACTTAACGACGCTGACAACTGTCGGTAGACGTGTACAGAATACAGACCCTGCTCGAGAGCTGGTCGATGGGTTTTCCCCAACTCGCATTTCTAGTACCGTTAAAGACATCGTTGCCAATTGTTGATGCGGTCGTAACATCCTGTCAGAGGGATAAACGCGCAGGCGCTAGCAGAATATATGTTGTCAAATCTATATATAATAAGTAGCGTGTACCACCTTAATAAGTACATATATACTTGACTGCAACAAGAGGTTCCAAGATTTTCAGATAGCTAGCTATAATGTCATTCATCATCATTTTGACGTCAAGATAACATTTATGAGATCAATATTTCCAGAAATATTATTGGTATATAGCAATGTGAATTAATCTTCTCTTTTTCCCGCGGGTGAGCTCAGCATGACGATTAAATGATATGATAGCGTTAATAATGTATTGCAGATAAGTTACGATAAGTACAAAAGTTTACTGTAATATTATATATATTAATATTTTCTTTTAATGAATATATCAGTTTATTGAAAGTATTGCGATTTATATCTATTTTACACACACACACACACACACTTAGGTTTCAATATATCTAAAGATCAGATCTGTATATTTGATCTGAAAACTCGATTGATATACACATATATGTGTGTATATAATATATTAATTTTTAAATCGCAAGCAGTTATTGAATATTAATATCGTAAAATAATTCTGTTTCTGATTTTAATAATTGACTACATTAAATATGATTACGTATACAATCTTATAATTTATTAATTATGTTATTGTTTTACATACCTATACATATACACTACTATTATATTAATTGCGTTACTTTGTATATTATTTTAACAATGTGACAATAAAACGAATGTTTATCGATTTTTTTCTTTCAAAAGAATTTAAATCAAGTGCTTATAAGCATCATCAGTTATCTTAAACTTGTCCAATATTATAATTTCTAATCTTTACATTTGTTTTTTCGATTTTATTTTTTAGTACATTATATTGTGTCAAATATATTTTTCAGTTATACAAATACATATACACTTATACGTTATATTCATTATATGCATTATATATTATTTACTTAGATAGGAAACTAGATTTCGACAAAATACGAATTAGTTTTCACATATATATGTTAGCTCGCATAATTAATGTGATACGTGAAAAAATGTTATATATGTAGATATATATATCTAATTATTAAAGAATTAATAGTATGAACATAGTTTTTTGAGCTATTATATATATATAGTGCCACATACATTACATTTTATCCGAGATATACATATTTTAAAGATATTTTTCAAATCTCAAATATAACATATATGGATGTCCTCTAGACATACTTAGGACATCCTTCTATATGTATCAACGATTTTACACTTTTGATAGCTTCTTATAAGAACATATCTATTATTTGAGTTATGTACATACATATAACCATGGATGGATATTGACATATAACCAACTCATTTTTCCTTTATACTTTTAATACCTGTATATTTATATGATGATAAATTCCCGTACAGAGACGTACAGCACTATATACACAGACTTGGCTGCGTTCCGTTTCACGCAATGCGCGCATTCCCCTATACTACAGTATATACGTGACGCTCACTATATAAAATGCGCGCATATATGCCTGAAACGGAACGCAGCCCTTGTCAAGTGAAGAATGTCAAGATCGGTCACGTGGTCGGTCCCGGCTCGGCGCGATTTTGTTAACGTTCGCTTGACAGTTGACGCTACGACTGCTACGAGTCAACTCGCTTCGCAGTGTTTCGCGCAGTTAGTATCGAGACGTGAGACGATGAAGTTTGCCTATGCTCTGCGCTATACTCGCACGACCACGATTCGATGTCACAACGACGACACAAGCCCGACCAAGCTACCTTTCGCCCACGCTTATTTCTATCTCTTTGCAACAGAAATAATCAGTCCAAGTGTAATTCATTCTCGTGATGCAGCAAACGACGTAAAACAGAAAAGAAGTATTGCGTCCTGCACTAATATAGCTGAATACAGGATGAATCTTCAGGTTGAAGAAGAGAAAAAGGAAAGAAGAGCTGAAGAATATATACGCGCGCATTTCAAACTATGTAGAGAGTAACATAAAATAGGAAGAAAGAAGCTGGTTAGATATATATATCTCGCGTGGACGATAGTGTATAACGACGAAAGATAATACACGAAGCAATTATAGTTACTAGACGTACCAAAAAAAAAAAAAAAAAAAAAAAAAAAAAAAAAAAAAAAAAAAAAAAAGAGGGATCGCGTCGGACACTTGTAAACAAATCCCATGGATTAGAATTATTATAGAAATAGATGTAAGAAGACGCGCAAAGAAAAAGACACTTTGGAGCACGTATATCGAAGTGACGTTTATTGGTACGTTGATTTATATTAGATATTTATTTGTTGGACGAGTGATCCTTAAGTTGAGCGAGAATCACGTGTACTTTCTCCGTTTTACGGTGCGGCATAGGATCGCGAAGATGTGGTGCTCTTCAAGCGCTCAGATGGAGAAGCGTGCTCGAGGGGCCGACGAGAAGAGATTCGACCATCACCATGACGACGAGTTCGCGATGGATAACGTCGACTCCGGATTTTTATCGGCTGGTAATATGCAGATTAGTGGCGAGATTCGCGAGTCCGGTGCAGTATCGCAGTCGCGGCAGTTGGAAGATAATTGGCGGATGAATGAGCGATCAGTTGTGCCGACATCGCAAGGAGCGACGACCTCGGTATCGCCGTTATCATCGCCGATATCATCGCCGGTCGTCGACAGTAGCGTCGTCGACCTCAGCGAGGGCCTGAACCAGCTTACCCTACAGAAGCAGCCCGCGCCGGGTCAGCTGTCTGTCCTGAATCCGCTCATCGACAGCCGAGTTCGATCCGAGCCAACGTCGATTTTTCAACTAATGCCTGTGAAAACAGGGGCCAGGTTGAATCAACGATCGAAGCAGGACGATCTGCTGCTCGAAGAGCATCAACAGGAAGGTGCCAACAAACGTGCAATAATTAACGAGGACACCTGGCAACTTTACTATACGCAGGACGATGACGGTGACACGTGAGTTTCGACATTTGTATGTTTTATCATATTTATTGATATACAATATTTAAATACCTATTAAATCTTACAGGACCTTACATGTGAGAAACACAACCAATAAGAAAATACCTTTAACGGTCGAGCTGGATCTTATGTATGCAGGCGATAACGTACTATCATGTATATCTTTACAATTTCCAGTTTAAACAATTAATAAACTGCATGCGCACCGAAATTGTTTGTCGATCTTGAAACATATAGCCCTAAACTGAAGCTGCGATAGTAAGTTAAACTACAAGATATTACAAATTAAATCGTCAAGCAATCTAATACTATATTGATGAGGCTAGCTATTGCTCTATCTTTATAAAGTAGTGTAAATAATTTATTGCTTATTAACGCGTCATAATAATATTAAATTACTTGTCAATTTAATTTGTGATATTACATTTGTACAAGACTCTATTTCAAGGTCAATGAATAATTAGCATGCAGTTTGTTTCAACTATGGAAATTGTCAAAGTTATTAAAGATCCAAGCTAGACTGTTATAGGCTTCGTATTTGTATTAGTTATGTAAAAGTTATATTAGTGTGATTAGGCATAAGATCTGTACCTTAACCGAATATGGCTCTCTTCATTCATTTCCTCTGAATTTCCATTCCTCTCCCCTTATTGGCCTTATTTTGCCGCAAATATTCAAATTTGCGACCACTAACATTCTACCGCGCTTACAATTAGATTATCTTATTACTATTTTTTTTATGTGCAATATGAATTATTGGATCGTTGAAAAAGTTTGTACGAATGTTTCAGTATAGATGATGTTAAAAAGCTCAGGATCTCTACGAGAGAAAAATTAATTATCCGAACGAGAGGAAAATATTGTGGGACAAAAAGTGATGCATATTTTATAGATTCAAATTATTTTTAATCAAAAAAGTTTCTATTTAAATTTTACTTAATAATCCGTACGGATTTTCCAAGATATCTATAATAATATGGACACGAACTGATGTATTAACTGCAATGTTGTGTTTTCCAAGTGTCTGATATCGGTAGAAGTGCCTAAAGTACTATATAATAAAATTCGTTCATGTAAATATATATAGCTTCTGTATTTACTAATAAGGATAGAAATGTGATAAATAGAACATAATTTTTAACAAAATGTTCACCAACTTTTATATACAATTATACATAGAAATCAATTCTTAGAGGCTACTTGTAAAGTTATATGAATGGATCAGCCGTTGAAAAATAATGTGGTACTATCTGGCGGAGCATTTGTACATAATTTATAACACAATTTCGTTTAATCAAGATCGATTTACTCATTTAGAAAAATTTAAATTTGTCCTTGGTTTTTATTAATTTCTTCAGTTTTATCGCTAATATTTCAAATTAATTTCACATTTCTGTTAATTTCTCCTTTTTGTCATTAATATTTCAAACTTGCTTGCCGATAAATACAATATCGTGATGATGATGTAACTTGACGATTTTTAACACAGCAAAATTTACGTAGCATACTCGTAACTACGTTAATAATCTCTTCGGATTATCTTACAAAATATACATATATGATATTAGTTAGATAATATATACATATTTCCTCAGGTTTACGTTCATCTAAACAAGTACTCGTATATAGGTATATACATAGGTATATGTATAGTGGAGAAAAGAATGATAAAAGTTCTCTTAATTTCTATCATACATTATACATGTAATAAACTGATTCGACGATGAGTTCAACCTATAGCTAATAATTGGCTGTGTTTAGCAGAAAAAGCAGCTTTATAAAAATTGTTGTACAATTCTTTAATATGATTAGTTTATATATGTTTAGATTCAATGAGAAACTGTAAGGGTAAAATCGCAATTAAATCATTTTAAAGAATTTCACAATAGTTGCAAAGCTGCTTATTTTTCTGCTGAACGTAGCCATTGTCTTTGAGCATCACTTAATTATCACACGTGCAATTCTTTCTTTTTTTTTTTCTTTTATTAGATCGCATAATATTTATTCAGGAATTTTTAATTATACTGTACATATACGTACATATGGATAATGAATATGTTTAAGATGTGACGGCATTTGGCGTAGCTCGTTGATCGATTCGATTAAATTAGTTTTATTGTATTAAAAAAATTCTTCGCGAGATTCAACTGATCGACAACGAAAAATTGTAATATACAAAAGTTTTATTTAAAAAATGCTTCTTTACATCAAAAGAAAATTAGGGTAAATTCGGGTAAGATAAGGCCATAGTCTTTCAGAACGACTTCATAAATGCTCTATGTTAGCACAATTATTAAAGAAATCACAACCTATATCTTATTAGTATGGCCATAATACTCGAATTTACCCTATACTTTATACAACACATTGAAAGATATAAATGAGAAATGTGTGAAAGTATAATCGGGCCACAAGTATTCTTCCTTGAATTAAGTAATCAAATAAGAGCGTTAAATTATAAAAATTATAAGTAAAATGCTTCAAGTTTACACCAACTATCTTATTTGGCAGTTTATTCTTACATAACGCATTTACACGTGTGTATTTATTGTCACAGGCAATTACATATCGCGATCGTGCAGGGTTACGTGGAGGCTGCGCTCATTTTGGTAAGACTGACTCCTCATCCGTGTCTGTTGAACATATACAACGATGACTGGCAATCACCTTTGCATCTAGCAGTGTTGACGAATCAGTCGCTAATCGTTAGACGATTGGTTCTGGCGGGCGCAGATCCATCTCTGAGGAATTTTCATGGAAACACGGCTCTCCACCTAGCATGCATGAGCGGGGATCTTGCTTGTGCCAAGGCTCTAACGGATCCATTGTCCCCGATGGAGAGAAATAATTTGATACCCGGACAAATAGTACCAGCTTTACCTCAGAATTTAGAGCAACGTAACTATAGCGGTAGGTACTAAATATATACCATATTACTATTGGTATATCTTTATGAATCTTCGGAATAGTTTACATAGCGATGAATAATAATAAATAGGAACTAAAAATAGAACAAGTGTTATTTATGTAGAAAAAATTGAGAAGGAATTATCAGGATGCGTTTGTATAGCTGAAAGATTATGTAGGTATAAGCGTGACAAAAAGTTCTTGTGTGTTTTACTTTATAAAATGATCTGTGATTTTTCCTGCAGCGGTTTAAACGACAGCTATTTGGAAGCTTATCGTAACATAATGTTAATGCAGGGAACAAATTAATCTCGTCTACGATAGGCATAAAGGATGCCGAATTGGCAGGAAAATCCTAATTACTCTTACCGCTGACAGAACTTCTCTGTATAAGGTTCGCAAATAGCGAACGCGATTATACCGTGACCGAGGAGCTATGTAGATTTCCTATGATTAATATAATTTCATCGTCACTTTCATTTCGAGAATCACTCTTTATCCCGTCCATGTTTGAAACTTCCGCATCGTTTTAGGTTACGTGGGGAATATTCAATTGCCTATGCAAAAAAAGACTTATTAATCCGATTGAAGTAATTTGAATTTCAAAAATTGCCGTCTGAGCTAGTATTCTATACGTTTCAGTGATAACTTTTTTATTATACGTATATATGTATTTCAGAATCTTTTCCAATATCGAGAATTATCATTATGAATTCAGAATTCTTTTAGATTAATCACTTAATTTATGCAAACGATTTATGCAAAGAAATCGCTTTCGCGAGAATAATCTTTAGAGATTATATATTTGCGGTTGTATAGAAATGAGCATTTTGCGCATTTTTCGCAAATTTTTACTTATCTAATATATGAAGACGGTTAAAAGATATTTGTTTATGTGTACGATATATAGGTATTCAATATATCATTGAAATATTGCAAAGAATGTAGGTACTTTGACATTGTTATTAATTGTGATCGGTGACTAATGATGCGGTATATTCTGACACGTTTCTTAAATAAACAACCATATCTTCATCATACTTATTCACGGAACTTTTAGTCTTGTGCGAGGCCGCGCTCGATTATTGTCACGCTCTATCTAGACGCGATTCTTTTCGTCATAATAGCGTAGGAATTCCCCCGAGAGTAAATGCACTAATACCTCTCATCGATTGAGACATCCGTTATCAAGTTGCCATCAGAAATGACTATGATTTGTTATCGCTACCAATCAAGAACCGAATAAATTGATCGAATATGCGATTTATTGAACAAATTGACGTGAACATGAAATCTGCGAAATCTGATATTGTGGAAAAGAGATGCGCGTCACGCAAATTTACATACTTTATATATATATATATATATATATTTATAGAAAACAAAAGAAAGAAAAAGAAACATTTATAGGAGGAAAAAGAGCCTTTACTTACTGCTGTCTATCGCTCCTCTTTCAAGTCAAAGACTGTTACGGTGAAGAGACAAATATATAGAGAAAGAAAAAAATTACTCTGATCGACAGATGTTGCGAAATATTCATGGACTTTTAAAAGTTTTGGAAATTCCATGTAGCGTCATCGCGGCGCGTATTTCCGTTGCAAGCTCGTGCGACGCGAATAACGCACCTATATACCTATACGTAGTCACGCATGTGCGAAACGTGGCGCAACCGCGATTGCTCGTGATGAATTTGTGATCAAATTCGTGAGCGCGAAACCGCGAATGTATCCATAAAATTCTACCCACGCGCATTTCATTAGATGACTCGCACGTATTTATTCGGATTTACAATTAAGAATAATATGGATCGAATGAGTTCTAAGTTCTTCTTCCGCGTGACCGAGAGATCAATTATTCATTTAGAATAATTCCGTTCCAAGGTCTACTTGGTTTTTCTGCTTTTTTTTTTTTTTTTTTTTTTTTTTTTTTTTTTTTTTCGAGAAATGCGCTTTCAGTTTTGCGATCAAATAATTGTTTCCAAAACAAGCGGTGGAAAGATAAGTGACGATTTCTATACAACACGTTTATATTAGCTGGAATTAGATAAAATCGTTGTTTTCGCAAAAGTAGTTTCGTTGTAATTTAATTGATTTCTAAAGGCAAATATAAAATGTAAATGTAAAACAAGGTAAAAGTGCACTATAGGAGTATATGCAAGGTATAGATGGATGGATAGTTAAGTTTTTTTTTTACTGTAAACCAAGTCCCCTTTTTGGCTATTTTGTTGTAAAGCTGAAGTGAATAAAATTCTATTCTAATTTATTTCTAAAGGCACACAAACACGTGAGACATTATTATTTCTCTTCAAGAAAAGAGATTATTTTGTTTACAAGACAACTTAATTTACACTTAGTTGATTAATCCTTATAGAGATTCTTGAACCAAAATGTAGATATATACATAGGTATATACATGGGGTATTCTCTGTCAAATTGGTCATCCCTTCTGTTCAAAATTCAGTTCAATTAAAAAATTTCTTTCTAGGCTCAAATTGTATTATAGATACACACACGTTTACTTTCTTTAGCACTCTGGCTTTTTTGGAAATTCATTTTGCAGTGGATCTAATATGACGACTAGTTTACGAAGTACTGATAGAAAACGCTTGAATCTCACCAGATCATCAGATGAGCCAAAATATATTCGAATTCTATGAATATTGGAATTGGTCATAAACATGAACCCGCAGTAAAATTTACAAAATTCAAAATGACGGATCCAATATAACAGAACTTTTCAAAAATTTTCTTGATTTTTATCAAAATTGAGCATCAAAATTTAATTGTGATATTATTTCAGTGATTTAATTGCGTTTTAAATCTGATAAAATTTTTAGCGCGCATAATTGAAAATGACAGAATATGATATATATGCAAGTAACGTATGTAGTATATGTATACATAATTCACATTCAATTTAAAACATATTAAAGATCTTATAGTTTATATCGTTAACTTCGACCGTTGTGCGGCCAGTATTTTCTATTTGTGGAGTTTTTAAATGTACGGTCCAATAGGATTCTTATTGTTTTAATAATTTTATGTATGTATAATTCGCTGCAGACAAAAAATATATAGTTAATCTCGAAAACGACTATATTATTGTATCAAACACTTTTTACGAATCTCAGTAGGCAATTCTCAGTGTAAGGACTATTCTTTTAGTTATTTTGTGTTCATTGCAAAAAGAGGCTTCTATATCGACGCAAAGCTCATTGTGCTTGTCAATAAAAAAGAGAAGGGAATATTTTTTTTAATGGTTTAACGATTTAGCGCATAGCTATGCGAGAGGATTGTTTTGTACACACGACGGAATTTGGCATGGTCCTATTATACTTGCGTGTACGCGCGTTACATCACGCGGCGCGTCAAACGCCTACGTCACCTCGCCGCGCCGCGCCGCGAGATAGCAGCGAGACAGCGCAGATATTCTTGATATTTAAAAATATCTGTATTTGTAGAACTACTTACTTGCATGCTGCTCGATATTCTCGCCTCGCCGGCCGGAAAACTCCCCAACGGCGTCGATGTTGGTGTGACTCCCATTGAACGCATTCGCTCTTAAAAATTTAACCCTCTTTCTCATGATTATGATTAACCCAAATCTCGCGACAGTACTCTTTGAATTTCCTACTTTAAACAAGCATGAAGGGGTTTGATAAAACTTTTTATTTAACGTTGTGACAGCGCATACGTTTGTCTAAATTCTTCGAAAGTACGCGGTCTATTCTATATATACATGATTTAAAATTTTAAACTCGACAGCCTCGTTGACGCCGACATTTTTGTTTGGAGGCAAACTTATTATAGATAGAATTAAAAATCTATTGTATTATAGATAGAGATAAAAATCTATTGCAATGACTGAAATTAATGAATTTTCTTTCAGTTCAGTCATTGCAATCGTGGTTCTTGCATGATAAAAAAAAAACAGGAGTAACACTTTATATATCATTATGTTTATTAATAATTACGATGATTGATTAGACTTCTATTTCTGTCACTGGCAATTAGACGATCGATGTCGACGTAATATATATGTCGTGTGTGTAATATACACACACAAGTGTATGTCGTTAAATTCTGTTAATGCAACTGGCACGCTGTTAATTTTAGATAAAAGTTACTTCGATCGCGGCACAGCCGCCTAGTTTGGATCGCGAGATGCCAGCAAAATCTCCGACGATAATGAATCACCGCGTATGTCTTCCTAGTTCTATCTATATCTCATGGCAAGCATATAACTAGACATCGTTTCATTATGCGTATCGTACGTCCCCTACCGTACATGTCCCTACTGGTTCAAGGGAAATGAATAGGAAAGTTGAGAAATTATTGTAGATGCAATATAAGCTGTGCATTTACTTTTTCTCGTAAACTCTCGTACCGCGCGCGCATTTATATGGTTATATACTGTTCTGCACCATTGTACCATTTTGATAATATATGATGTATACTTGCATAATTGATTATGCGTCGCCAAGCGACACGTTTACATTTCTATCTATAACAAAGTGCATACAATAATAATAAATAATGCATATAGCGATAAGACTGACATTTTTATATGCCGTCGGTGGATTTTATATATATATATATATGCAGTATATAACATCGAAATTGCAATTAAATATTAAACAACAAATAAAATCATAATTACGTTCTTCTGATATCATATATAACTTCAGTGTATTCTACCTCTGGTTATTCTCTAAAAATAAATATATAACAATTAATAACAATGCGTATATAAATATATGTACATATAAGAGAATACTCTATAGCTGTTTTTCAAATACTGTGCTGCTTCATTAGACACTTTTTAATTTGGCCGGTTTCTCGATTTGATTTCAGGTGAGATGTGTTTGCACCTGGCCGCCATTAACGGATACGTGAATCTGGTGCGTCTTTTGCTGCGTCTTGGTGCCGATCTCGAGGCGAGGGAAGCCCTAGCGGGCAAAACGGCGCTTCACCTCGCAATAGAACGGAGATGTCGATCGGTAGTTAATTTCTTGCTGCAGGAGTGTAAGCCCTGTTTAGATACGCAGACGTACAGCGGTCTAACGGCCTATCAGCTAGCACTGTGCATCGATAGCCAGCTTGCTAGAGAATTGGTGCGATATGGTGCAAAACCGGAGCCGCTATCGGATTCGGATTCGGAGAGCAGTTCCGAGAACAATTCCGAGAATGAGACTTACGGAAAGGCGAGTTACTTGTCCACGATCGTCAAGCTACAAAATGCAGTCGAACTGAAAGTCTAAAATAAGTAAGTCACCGATAAGTATCCGATTAATCGAATGGATCTAAATATTGTTAGGTGAGCGAATGAAAAAGAAAAAAACGACATAAAATATGTATGACGCACGAAAACAAATCTCGAATTACATACATATATAAAAATTACTACAAAGTTTTGTCGAATTCAAGCGGATAACTGTATAGTGAAGCAAGATTACAAAATGATAAAAATTATCATTTTATAATCTCACACAAAAATAGTTTCGTACATTATACATATAATAATACACAATCTTGATTTCTAATCTATTTCTTACACTTTGTTAATTAATTAAATCAATTCAGGTGATTGTTTGAGAAAATAATTAGTTTATTTGTATTACAATATATATTATTGAATAATAACCGCATTTCGCAAATTAAATTCAAGTTGCAAATTGTCAATTTGATTGGCTTGACGTCATCTTAATTCACTGAATTGAATGAAGATGACAATGACAATTGAGAAGCTAGTTAAGCTAGTAGGTATACACGTTACAAATGGAATTTCAGAAATTCTACTTTCGACCTGCGCGTGCTATTACATACATATGTATAAATGTATCTTGAGCTTACGAGTATTATTATTATTATTATACAATGTATATATACAATTATAGATTACATGTACGCTTATCAGAGCGATACAAGTTGGCAATACAGTATACCGAAAGATAAATAAGTATGAATAAATAAATATAATGGAGATGCATGGAAAAATCGAATATCTCAAAAAATAAAAAAAAAAAAAAAACAAAATTAAAAAAAAAAAAAAAAAAAAAAGGAACTTATATGCGATTAATGATTAATAAATATTCGATTAACGAGCGAAACAACGATATGTTAATATTCTAAAATGTAGAAGATAATCCTAGTAGATTTTTCCTTTATTAATGTGCAATAGATGGATGAGCAATATTCTGAGGCATGTTTCCGAAATATGATGTAATAATAATACAAAAGAAAATACAATTTACATTTCAACATCGATCTTATTATACAATGTCGATGGAACGATCTGTGCGAACAAAAATAAAGTGTAATTGTTCTGAGATGTATATGACAACGTGAGAATAAAATATTTACGCCTTGCGAAGGCGATATTTTGTAATGTAAATGTAGAAAAAGTGTATATGTAATGTAAATAGAGAAATGCCACATATTCAACGAATGAATATTTATGAAAGAAAGTTTCATTATACATATATATAGTTATGTATAATTCATATAGCTAATATAAGATAGAACAATATGATAACAATAAGAGGTTGACATGTCCTCGACAAAATACGTTTTAGTCGAAGAAAAATAATTGTAAATCATTTTTACGTACGACTTAAGCTCTAGACACAATGCGAGGAAATAGCGCACGTTAGCGATAGAAATAATAACCAGATTCCAACATATATCAGAAACTGTATGTTTCGATGTATCCGATTTCTGATAAATTAAAATCTGCAGGTGTTGTGTTTCTATCGCTATCGCTGCTCCCTCATATTTTGTCTTAGGCTTAGAGTGGTACAACAGTATGCATATTGTTAGCGCGCTAATCAGCTAGCTAAGAGATAATACATAGGCCAAATAGTTGTACGTTTAATATATACGTGTATTTGTGTTAGATAGCAAAGAAAAAAAGAACCAAAATAATATATTTATCAACGATGAATGTCAACCGGATCAGTGTTCATTTAATAATTTAATATCGTTATTGTTAAAGAATGTAGACCTTTAAGACTCTTCTCGCACATGTATGTACATATACATATATATAACCATTTTACGTTAAAATCATATAAATATATCATATAGCTACGATTATATTAATAATAACGTCGTTGTTATTGTTATTTTCCTACACACACACACACACACACATGCGCGCGCGCATGCACACAGAGTATATACAATACATACATACATAATTATTTTTAAAATATATAAAATAATCAAAAAGCTCAGTTGAATATATCACAAAAATAAACAAGATGCCAATATGAGCCGATACAGAGGTTATTGGTGTATGAATTTTTTCTTACAATTTATTAAAAATAAATAAAACGTATACGTTTCGATCTATGCATGGTCAAAGTCTTCCTCAGTACAAAATAATATTAAACTAACAATTAAACACAAAATCAGGAGACGCGGTAGTGTCTCCGGCCATGTTCAAAAATTGAAAAACACTACAAGTCTCTTATCGCGCGCGGTGAGGTGAGGGGGACAGCGGAAGAGGCAGAGGCGATTCGAAAATCGGCCGAAAGTTGCATATACTTTATGTATGTTCACTTTGTATTGGCATCTTTAATTAATAATGTATTAGTTACTTTTCATGGTAATATATATTTTATTATTAGATAAAAAGGTTACGATATTATGATGGTAGCGCAACATAACTATAATTATAATTAAATTCAATGTCCAAATTCAAGCTAGTCTTGTTCTTCAAATTGTTAAATTTAATGATTGTCAAGGTTGAATGAATTTTTGTATAGCTGGTACAGATGTAAAATGAGATTAAGAAAAGCAGTGAGCAACGGTATTCCGGTAACCGTTGCTCTCGCTGCTTTTCTTAATCTCATTTTAAATCTGTCTGCCAAACAGTTATGTCGTATCTAATAATTTTCATTTAAATTTTATTAATCTGAGCAGTGTCTAATGGAACTTATACTATACAAAAAATAGTCCAAGCTTGACAATCATTAAATTTAACAATTTGAAGAAGATTTGACTTGAATTTGGACATTACCACCTGAATTTAATTAAGTATATATAGTTGTATGCGCTACCATCATAATCGTAATTTTTTGTGTTTAATTGTTAGTTTTATATTATTTTGTACTGAGTAGGACCTTGATCCTATGATCGAAACGTATACGTTTTATTTATTTTTAATAAATTGTAAGAAAAGTGCACACCAATAACCTGTGTCGGCTCACATTGGCATCTTGTTTATGTTCGTCAATTATTTTTTAATAAAAAAAAAGATGATGTTGAGAGAAATATTGAAAGATTTTTCTTTCCTTTGTTTGTATCTCATGCTGATCGACTGATGTTATTATTTACGACGCAAAAAATCCAGGGAGGCAATATCGCTTGGAACAACATATTCCCACGAGGAAATCTGGAAATTCCCATGTCGTAAACACGACGTAGGAATTATATATTAGTTTAGAAGAAAGAACTGCATCTTTTTAGCGATATGCTTATCGCCCCTGACATTCTGTTATACTTCTGCACAACGATAAAAAAGAATACTTCTAGTATGGGCGAGTTTTTTAATTCATTGATTGATCAACCGATGAATTAAAAACTTACCGTATGTGTGTGTGTGTGTGTGTGTGTGCGCGCGCGCGCGCGCGGAACATATCTCGTTAACTATTGTGACAATTGTAAAATGGTATAGGACTTTTCTTCTCAGTTTAGTCCATTCTACCCCCTGTACGGAATATGTTTCATTACTTCTCAAACATCCTGTACATGTCGTTGGTTTGCACCAAAAATATAGACCGTGTTCGGATATGTACTGCCACACTGAAAATCTACAATATACGTAACGTGCACTATAGATTTTTAGTCTAGCAGTGCCTAGAGAACCTCTAGTTCTCTAGCAGTGCCCATATATGATATATGTATTACTATGGCTACATGCATAGAGATAGTAGTACTAGAGCATGGTGTTCTATCTAGAAAAGGACGCACTCATTTGGAACCGGTTCTCTCTCGTTTCGCGCATGCGTATAGCCGTATACTCTGAGAGAGGGGATCGAAAGAAAGAAGGAATTGGAAGAGCAACCCTTGGCACTGGGAAACCCTTAACTTTATCAAAGTCAATTCTTTGTTTGATTCCAAAGAGATAAGGCTTGTCCGGTCATTCTTGGAAAGCCAAAAGTTTCTTTCCGCGAGACTTAACTAAACCTAGAAACCTAGAAAACAGAGATGCGTCATTGAAGGGTATGACTTGATTGGCTGTCTAAATCATGTGATCAGAGAGCCATTTTAATCCACTATTGCATCTAATAGATATAGTTTTATAACGTATGTACATACATATATATATATATATATAGAGAAAAATTTAGACAATACAGTGTCAAAGTGCAATAAAAAACTATTATTATGATGTAAGTATTCTTATTTATGTGAATATCGGACTTAACCTAATCTAATCTAATCTTTCTACCTTTTGCATCAACTGTCATCAGCTTATTGGTCAGCACTTATATTGAATTAAAATGGCGGTGGTTACCTAACCCAACCGACGCAATGTCGCATCTCTGTTTTCTAGGCCTCTAACTAAAGCGGGGAGCACAGACTTTTGCATAACGCATAAACCATATACATAAAGAATTTGATTGGTCTATTGACTCATGCATAAGAAAATATAATAATAAT